CGCACTATGATCACGTGGTGCTACTACATAAATTCTACTGGTGGCCGGCGCCTACTACGCTGCTAGCGGTGAAACACATGGGTCCATCTGACACTGATGAATACTCTGAATAGCGCAATTATGGCCTATTGGCCCCTAAATCCTCGAAAAAACCGATAGTACATCTATCCTCCGATGCTGGCCGTAACCGCGGCCCTAAGACTATTGACCCTGACCTCTGTCATACTAGTCTCCTTCTAGTGTACTGCGGCAATGCTTCAATCTATATCCGATCTTATTATAATTGTATCATGTATCCTGAATCATGTGCTGTTGTGTCGCTATTGAATCATGTTGTGCTCTCTTCTTATAATGTCTTTGTTGCTGATGGTAAAAATTCTTACCCCACTGCTGTGTCCTCTAGATCCCACAATAGGCCTCTTGCCCTTGTCATTTCCATCATGTTGGTCTTGATTTCATTATTAACTATAGACATATCTCACTGCTTTAATCGAACTAGCTCTAACTGCTTGTCGAAGAAGTAAACAAAATTTTCCCAAATAAGTGATATTCACTGCTCCTGCGAAAATCTGAAGTCGTTGTTATCCTTTGCTACCATTCTCCAGTGATGATGAAATTATTGGTATTGCCTCTTCAATAGGCATGATTGGTACAATTGGTGGTGCAACTCCAGGAAAATGATACTACTGACGAAAACGGATGTGCCTCTCGCTCCTCGAGTATTACAAAATCTTACTGCAAATGATGCTATAAGGCCGATCAGATACTGTGGAGCCTATTGTGGCTCGGGCTCTGTTTGCCTAGCTCTCTGGGTATGTGTTTTATCTCAACTGCATCCTTGTCCCAACATTTATAATATCAAGAGGAGAGCTTAATGGACACAGTAAATGACATCGCTAACATATATATAATATATATATAACGTATCATAATAAGTATTCATAGCATATAGTATTCACACAAATACTTTAAATCAACATAAAATAATTGTCATAAAAAATTCGAAATTTTGAGATATACGCACATATCATTCTCACTCATTCTAGAAATTCCTAGCGGACTCTGTACATGAATCCTAGGAAACTCTATCCTAGCTCCACAATTTAACACAGGAATGATCCTAAGGATGCTGGAACTAGAGCTCTGATACCAACTGTAACGCCCCAGGATTCACACAAGGCTGCAGTCCAAGATAAAACTCGGATTGTCAAACCTGCCAAGTACCAAACACCATGCTACAACATGTTTCACCATCACAGTCACTATCTCTCTAGTGGAAACAACAAATAGGTGAAGGTATAAAACAGGCAAATAATAGAAGTAGTACAAAATCAGATATGCACAGAAGAAGTATATCAACAAATGAGCCCAACTGAAATAGAATGAAAATATCTCTGAGTCAAAAATACATCTCAACACAATGAGTCAAATGAAATCTCACTAAGGCACTCAGCCTCTACAAAATGAATACAACTCTAAAATCTAAACAATGAACATAACTATATAGTGGAGCTTCAACTGCTAAAACTGTGTGATGATGACTATGCTAGAACTCCGTCATCCTGCGGCTCTCCGAAACTCTGATCTGCCCGAAAGATACAATTTAAACAAAAGAACAACAACAAGAGCGTCAGAACGCTACAACAAGATCACCTCCATCCGCCCCAGGCGAAGAGCTGCTAGATGAAGTGGAGGCTCTATCTATTAAGCATAGTCTACCTATGACACTTGTTTATCCGTACGAGCATGCGAAGAGGTCGATGAACCTATGACACTTGTTTATCCGTACGAGCGTGCGAAGAGGTCGATGAACCTATGCCACTTGTTTATCCGCATGATAGTGCGTTGGAGTCGATGGACCTGTGTTTATTATTCGTATGATAGTGCACTGGGGTCGATGGACCTATGTTTATTATCTGCATAATAGTGCGCTGGGGTCTTTGAATATATGTTTAGTTACCCGCACGAGCGTGCGCTGAGGTCAGTGAACCTATGTCTTTGTTTCCGTATAGATTGCGTAGGAATCAATATTCCTATCCTGTTGTTTTACACAGGGATACAATAATATTCCAAAAGGATTTTTTCTGTGTTTAGTGGATGCCAAAAGTGACAACGACTCATGGTTGAGATATTCGATTGAGATACTCGGTTATGCGAGTATACGAGATAACTATGCTGATTATGATGCTTTACTTTCCAGTTATATTTTTGATTGCTTAGTTCAGGATTAATATTTAGTTATCTACAATTTGAGACATATTGTATATACATGAGGGTTTTCTTGTTGGATTATTTCGCTCGACGTACTACATCTCGTGTTTTAGATTTCTAACTATTAATACCATCAGATACGGGAAAATGGTCTAGGTAGACTATGCTTAATAGATAGAGCCTCCACTACATCTAATAGCCCTTCCCGGGGGCGGATGAAGGTAATCTTGCTAGCGCTCTGACGCTCTTATTGTTGTTCTTTTTTTTTCCTTTTTTTTACTTTCAGGCGGCTCAGAGCATCGGAGAGTCGCAGGGTGACGGAGTTCTTGCATAGTCGCCGTCGCGTACTTTTACTAGTATGGACTCCGCAGTAGTTTTATGTTTCCATTCAGTCACTTGAGTTTGTATTCATATTTTTAAGGCATCCATGTTGAGACATGTCATGTTATTTTAGACTCCAGATGTATATCAGTTGTATTTTGGTTTATTATAGTCGAGACATGATATCATTATGAGATATTTCTTTCTACATCATGTCTATTGTATTTTTATTTCCCATATTTGCATGTTTGTACCTTCACTTCTACTTGATTCCACTAGAGGATATTACTGTGATTGGTGAAACATGTTGTTGTACAGTGGAGGTGCATGGCAGGTTTGATATCTCTGGGTTCACATTGGACTGCAACCAAGTGTTAAAACAGGGGCGTCACATCCTCTGTGTTAATTCTTCCAACTAGTCCTGAGTGACATAGCCCGTACGTGATTCTTCAGGGCGTGGGTCGAAAGTTCGACAAGGACTCTCAGAACCAGACATCTTATATGAAGAGGGATGACAGGCTCTACGCTGAGCGCTAAACTGTTGATGCTAGTTATCAAATAGGGGGTTTATTTGTGGATTAGAGTTAGGGTCCTCAAACTCCTTTAGATGTCTAGCTATGTAGATCGCTATTCTTCCTTGTACACGAAGAACTCATGAGAGGATGGAGTTAGGTTCTCCGATTGTTCCTCCGATGATCAAGTCAATGTTTGAACTTGAGTGGGAAAATATAAGAGAAATAGTGAGAAGAATTGTTCAGAGTTGCAAGAAAGTAGAGAAAATTACCTCATGTAGTGCAACTCCCTTTTATAGTAGATCGGAAGGGCATGAAGGTCACTGTGGATGAGTTCATGCAAACAGCTAACGCAGCAGGTGTCTATACAGGTGTCAGCCGTAGGCAAAGTTGAGTCATCTAAGCAATTAGTGTGAGGGCGACAACAGTTGCTTGGTGCTGACTGGATCTGATGAGTTATGAAGACTGTGGGGGCTAGAACAATGATGACTCTGATAGCATACGTAAAGCGAGGATAGTTGGTTGTCAGCAGGGGATTCGAGGACACACCGCCTCTCTAGTTGTCTAGTTGAATGCCGACAAACACCGACTTTTTAGCCGGTTACGCAAGTTGTCGGCCGAAATAACAGGTCGATTATGGAGTCTTGAGGGCTCGACCTGGAGAATAGGCCGACAAGTTTCGCCTTTCGAGTCAGCCACGAAAGTTGTTCGCTTATGGAGTCGGCTGCAGGAACGACTCAAGTTATTGGTTGCAGGAGTAATCTGATTAGGCATAGAGTGGGACACATGTCGGCTCCCCAACAGAGATTAACACTTGGCTATTTTGCAGCCTATAACAGTATTATACCATATGTATATTATATTAGTCATTACTATTATATTCTATTAAGATATTATAGTAAATATGATATATATTAAAATGTTTATACTATAATCTAATATGATATAATACATTCAATTAATTATTATAAATTTTATAGTAAAATCATATAATATTTTACATTATAATATTAATAGTTAACACTGTTATAAAATAGTGGTAAATCGCCCCACAATAGCGGCACGAATAGCGTTAGCGGTCCCTTCCTACTATGCTATCGTCCAATAGCGGTGACATATTGCGGAATATGCATTTTTCGCTTACAAAAGCGGCCAATAGCACCATAGCGTGAATAGTGGGGGATTGCAAATCCGGTTTTTGACCGCTATTTAAAAGTTGTTTGAGGTTTATTTTTTAAAAATCAAAACTGACCCGCAACCACTACATCCCACCGCCTCCCCTAATTTCCCACGTACTCCTGCCGCCTCCCATAGCCTCTGGCACCTCCCTCAGCACTTCCTCTCACATCCGTACTCCCGCCACCTCCCATAGCCTCTGGCACCTCCCTCAGCACTTCCTCTCACATCCTCTTGTCGTGAACTCCTCCTAGTGCAGTTCTCTCACCGCTTAGCTCATTCTCGAAGACGACGACTCTCTGACTCCTTCAGTCGTCTTCGGTGTTATGTGACAGTTGCATATCTATTTCATGTTTAGGATCTCTTTAAATCATCAAATGCACTTTTAGATTTTCTAGAATTTTCTTTAATTCTTTTATTTTTTAATATTTATAAATAACTGAATTAGACCGTTATTTGACTTTGCGCTTTTTACCGTTATTTTGCCGCAATAACCTTAGCGATGTCTCACCGCTATACGACGCTATCCGTTATCCATAACCTTAATAGTTAATTAATTGTATTGTATATACTTTCAATAATATATTATAGTAATTATAATAATATATTTTATCTAATATAATATAGTATATTTCTTATAAAAAATATAATGTAATATCATATTATATGGTACAAATATAACATACACGTAGTTGTGTAGGTATGCTCGTGCTAACTACTATTAACAATCCTTAACCCGTCTCGTTACCATACAGCAAGTCTTTCGTCGCAGCAGAACTGGATAAGTATATTTTTATAATTACTGGACTTTCGTCTGTTACTCTTCAGTCTCTCTCGGCCGGCTGCCGCCTGCTCATCGTTTCGAAAACTTTCTCCTCACTCCTCTCCTTTCTCCGTTCAGATCTACGCATTAGGGTTAGGGTTTCCAGAAACCCCAAAACCCCCTCTTTTTCTAGGGTTTCCATCAGCAATGCAATCCCCAAAACCCGAAGCCATCATCGAATGGCTCCAGAAGGAGATGAACTACCCGTCCCCTCTCCCAACCCCCGACCAAATCCGCAAGATCTGCAGAGGGAACATGATCCCGATCTGGTCGTTCCTCCTCGGCAGGGTTCGATCGGAGAAGACGGTGGCGACTGTTAGAAGGAACATTGTGATTCATGGGGCGAAGGGGACGAGGAGGTCCTCGGAGGCGCGAGGAGAGAGATGTGGCAGAGGAAGAGGCCGGAGGATGAGGGTTTTGGTGAGGAGGACGAGGAGGATGTGAGGGGAAAGATGGCCGAGCTTGCGAGGGAGGAGGACGATCGGAAGAGGATTATCTGATGGATCGGCACGCCAGGTATTTGATTGCTGATTCATGAAGTTGATACATAAATTTCCTCCAAAGACAAAAGAAAAGAAAAGCGAAATTGATACATAAAGAGTGATTATTTAAGTCAGTTTGATGTTTTATGAGGTATTAACAGAGTTGAATCAAGTTTAACAGTCAAATTTGCTCTTTAGTTCTAGCTGCATTAGTGAAATTTTACTATAAATATACTTTTGGATACTAGTGGGAAAAAAATAAGCGATGATGGGGCCAATGCCAGGTATTTGATTGGAATGGTACTTGAGGGAATTATTGTTTTTTCCTAGGCGATGTGCTGACTTAGCTGCTAAAGTGAAGTCTTGCAAAATGTTACTTTAAATTTTAATCAATTGGAATTGATGCATATTGGGAAAAAGGAGGGGAAAATAAAGAGTGATTCTTTAGTCAGTTTGATGTTTGATGAAGTATGAGCAGAGTTGATACAAGTCTTAACTTTCAAATTTGCTTTTTTACTTCTAGCTGAATTAGTGAAATGAACTAAAAATACTCGTGCTTGCTTTTGGGAAAGAGTATGTGGTCTTTAAACTATATGATAATTTTGTGAGTTGCACTTGTTAATTATTCTATGGAAATATCACTCTTCTTTTCTTAGGTTTGTACTGCCAGTACTACTTATTATTAATAATCTATGTTCAGGAAAATGGATGAAACTAATTGGCTAATTAGTAGAGGAGCATATTAATGATTTTTTTAATACAGAAAATCAATCTGTTACGTGTCGGAGTATACAGGGAAAAGAAACATAGAAGTACTATAGGAATAAGCATAAATGAAACTATACAAGAACATGTTCTTGTTGTATGATGAACAGACAATAGAGCAGTCCTTGTCTTGCATAGGTAAAATTATCCATATAGTTGATCAGTGTTGTAAATAGCGACAAATAACGGGGCTATAGCGGCGCGAATAGCGGTCGCGGCCCTTCAGCGTTACACATTGGGGTTTCGCGGCTGGCTTAAGCGGGAAAATCCGCTATTCATTCGAATAGCGCGTAAAAGCGGATTTTAGCGGGTTAAAAGCGGGTTTCGCGGTTAAAAGCGGATTTTCGCGGTTAAAAGCGGATTTTTGTTGTTAAAAGCGGCTAAACCCGCTATCACACATATTATGATGCTATATTTCTTGAATTTCTTCATAGTTTCATTCATACAATAAGCTTATTAATTGTTATTTATTGATAATACAAGAAATTTACAACTAATTGAATTTTTAGATTTTTTTATGAATTTTCTTATTATTTAGGATATTTAAATATATTTAAATTTGACTGCTATTTGACTGTGCGCTATTTGCCGCGATTTCGCCGCAATAGCCCGATATAGCCTTAGCGGTACCTCGCCGCGACGCGCCACGATCCGCTATCAGCAACCTTGTAGTTGATGCTCCTACACCGTAATAAAGTTTAAATGACAATGTTAGAAGTTCAAGATGAATTACTTTAAGGACTACTAAGAGGAGAAGTTATCAATAGCACACCTCAACATCATGTCTAATAGGTGACTTAGCTAGCTATCTTAAAGGGCAATTGATAAATAATAAGTAAAGTATGACCTTAGATTCATTTGTGACATTACCATACATATATTGTGTGTGCGCGTGTGTTAGCATAAGACACCTGTGTGGGCATTGGTATTCAAAAGAAAACATGTCATTTGATTAAAAAGCATGCGAAATTATAAACCAACTACTGATAATTCTACATTTGTTAGAACTTTGCTAGATAACTTAGCTAAATAACTTAGCTAATGTTGTTTACATCTGTATTATGCAAAATGTATTGAGGAAGATAAAATATATGTAAGATATCAATGACTAAATAATGGAGCTTGAAAGGCGATGAAGAATTTTTTTTTTTTGAGGATAGATAACACAGCGGAAAATGGAATATGGATGAAAGAAGATGATATAAAGTTAATGGTTCTTTTTTTATCGATAAAGTGGTGAGCAACATCCTTGGAAAGAGATCGTGTCTCTAAGAAAGTTGGTTGTGCATTAAAATTTTTAAACGATTAAAACAAAAGATCATGTTATAAAAGATTGGTAAAATTTACGAAGGGGGAAAAACTTGGCTGATACAGGTTGATCGCGGTATAAATCTAATTTGACAAGTTTACTGATGTTTATATATTTACTAGGTTGTACGCATGTGCGTTGCACGTGGTCAGGTATCTTGATTGTTTCTATGAGGTGTATTTCTTTATTATAACACACAACATCAGCTTGATATTAATAAGTTCATATGAAATAGTGAATTTTCTCAAGATTAGTACAGTGCACGTGTGTGCATGTGGATGTACTTGTTTTAGATTATTACTAGAATTGCAACAAAGCTGTATATTATCGTAAACAGCTTGATAAAAAGTAGATCTAGGATTGCACATGTACAGTCTGCCACTGCTAATAAATCAAGATGTGGCTAATAAATCACATTTGCAAATAGTCCTAAGACACTTATTCCCATCAAATTGTGCAAAACAAAATTTATAAAAAAATCAAAGAAGAGAAAAATATCTGTAAGTGTATTTGCACATATTCTGTGCCTGCCATTGAAATATATAGAGGGCAGCAGTTTGATATTATTTCTGAAACAACCGTTTACATGTGTAAAAGAAAGCAATGGAAGGTTGAGGGCAAACAACATAAGACTTATTTTGACAATAAGAAATTAGTATTCAAGATCCCTTCTAGACACTTGAAACATAACTATATTTGAAACATAACTATATTTACAGTATATACAAAGGAACAATCACTTATATTCACAATAAGAAATTAGTATTCAAGATCCCTTCCAAGATGTTTAGACTCCAAAAATAATTATAAATGGACCAGAATAGCGTCTTCTAACTGTAAAATCAAAGTCAAATCCCTAAAAAAGTACGATGACAAATATGACGGCGAAGAATCAGTAAGCCTATGCTTCGTTTAAATGTAAATGAAAGTAAAGAAAAAGAAAGGAAAAGAAGAAAGAGGGAAGGAAAAGAAAGAAAAATAGGATTTTTTTGATGTTTGGTTAGGATGACACAATAAAGAATTTGAAGAAAAATGATAAATAAACAATATCACTTGTTTGCTAGTTCAATAAAATAATATAAAATACTAATATATAAATATATGTGATTGTCAATTTAAAACGTGTTGTCATATGTATAAAAATTTCATTCCTCAATATATGACTTGTTAGATTATAATAATATGAATTTTCCCCCTTAGTTATTAAAAGATGATTTTTTAATTGTGTTTTCCCCGTATTAGTCCTTTAAATCTTTCATATTTTGAAATGATCCCTCAAATAATTGAAATTGCTATTCGGTCCTTCGATTCTTAAGTTATTTTGAAATTAGTCTCTCGAATCATTGAAATTGCTATTGGCTCAATTCTCAACTTATTTTTGAAAATCATTCCCTTCAATCAAGAGTGGGAGTATCAATTAGAGAGATTAATTTGAAACAACTTATAAGAAGTATGGACCTATTAGCAATTTTAATGATTTTAGGGACTAATTTTAAAATAAATTAAGAATTGAAGGATCAATGGAAATTTCAATGATTTGAGGACTCATTTTAATGACATGAGGACTCATCTACATAAGAGTGATTATGTTTGCCTGGAACTCCAATGTTATATCATTCATAGGTAAAATCACCATTATTTGCTAATTTCATGCTTTGTTATAATTCTGGTCCCGACCCTCTAAATTGGTGGTCTTAAATATTTGAAGACCTTTCCTACCAAAATTTCTGCAAATGGAAGGATGGCGTGCATAAGACAAAGGTTCATATCAAGGAAAAATTGAGCTCTGTTTTGTGTTTTAGTAATATTACTTGTTTTGTTTTGTTTTGGTCTGCTTTTGAATAATAATTCTGATTTATTTGAAGGGGCTTTTTATGGATAGTTTCTTCTAATAAATAGTTATATGTCAATTCAATTCTAGTTGCAGACTCTTCTCGAGTAGTTCTCTGAGTTCTGTTCATAGCCATATGAAAATTCTTGTGGACAGACGTTGCTGACCTTCAGCTGAATTTTTGTATACATGCTTGGAGATATCCATAACATAGTGAAAGTGCAAGTGACCAAACAATGATGATTATTTTATTATAACTTTGGTGTTCTTCATATCCTAGAATGAGATAGTCTACATTAAAAATAAAAATGAGATAGTCTACATTATGTTCCTTTAATTTTATAGTTACAGCTTACAACAATAACAACATGACATCAACAAAGCAAGAATGCTACATGAGTCATTTCTCTCTCTTTAGGGTCATTCCTTTAACAAGTTGGTACTATCATGTTCCTTATACTTTTTTCTTACTGTCTTGCTCCATATTTGTTAGACTTCGTCTAACCTTTCCTTATTAGTAATCATGTATTATGATTGTTCTTAAATGGTGTACAAATACCTCTTTAATTCAAAGTTTTCTATTAAACAAATTAAACATATTAGAGAGTGCTCATAGCTATTATATATAATAGATTGTAGAAATGAAAAAGTGTTGCAATGACAGCCTTCTACAACTGTTTGTGCTTTTGTCTAGAATCCAAGTATTGAATACCTTATCTAATTCCAAATCAAACTATCTTTAAATAAACAGTTATCATAGCCTCCTTACATCTAATTTATAGGAACTTTAACAAAACGTTATCAATAAATTGGTTACAAGTAATAGTTGTACACGAACACTTGGTACCACCAAATAAAACTTATTAAAATAAAGATATTTCTATTAATTAGGATAGGATCACTATGCAATATCCAAAAGGATTCTATTAATTAGGATAGGATCTCAATGCAATATAGAAAAGGGCCAATGGCAATATTGACCATGGAAAGATTTATCTAAACTCATAATTTTTTAAGTATAATATAATATATCCCTATAAGGTATAGACATAATAATGTTTTAGGCAAAGTTGATCTCCATGAATGAAGCAGGTAATTAAACGCTACAGTGTCCATATGAGGAAGTTTCCTCAAACATCTTTTACTCTTTCTCCCTAAGTAGAGAGTATGCTTCATCAATTTTCCCTTTCTATGTTATGGAATGCTATTTGTCCCTAAGTAGAGAGTATGCTTCATCAATTTTCCCTTTCTATGTTATGGAATGCTATTTGTTCTATGTTATACGTAGCAGATAGTAGCATATGCAATAGTACATGTTGAAATTGAATATCAAAGAAACATAAAATTATGAAAGGAAAAAGGATTTTAAGATCTAAAATGCTTACAGAAATACATAGCAATGTATACGATTCGTGCCCAATGAGGATGCAAAAGTATAGTAGCTACCAATTCTTATAATGTAAATACATATTACAGACTGCCTAACATTTGAACTCCCGCCATCGTTTGTATGCTTGCTAGAGAAGGATTGCTTCATGCCGGCTCTCATGTTTAAGGTTGTGTTATGATTTTGTTTAAATACCTAATTAGCGGCCAACAAGAGAATGAACATGTGATATCCTTATTTGCATATGCATCAAAATTAAACCACAACAAAAACTTTAAGCTAAATTAGAAATTTCCATATAAATGCCAAGAAACAAGTATTATAAATAAAGAATGATCTATTTACCTTGGGAAGTAATGGAAAATCTTATTGAATATAACTCTTATCTAAATGAACTCTTCATAGTTCTTAATTCAGCAGTTTTTGTTTATAAATTTCTATATTTGAAATTAATGTCATAAATTTTGAGAATATACTTGTATTAGATGGTCCTTTAAAAGTTCTACACTTGTTAATGCTAATTAAGTTTCTCAATCTTTTTTCATCCTTTTCAAACACCAAAATCAGTGTCACATGATTTTACTGTGATGGTTGAGCGAGAATAGGTGAAGTGTCATAAAGTAATCCTAGTCTATAGATATAATGTCTTAAATGTTTTTTTGTTGCTATTATAACTGTAAGTATAGTGTCACGTGGAAACGTAGTTCGCATGTATGAGTCTACTGATACATAGAGTTACCAGTTACATACGTAAGTACTTCTATTTTACTGTAAGTCTATATGGTATTCAGATGTTTGTTTCTGAATGTTATCATGTCGGAAAGACACCAAATTCGATGCCCATATCGTATTTCCATGTAAAACTTGTTTAAGGCCTGAAACTCTATCCTAGACCTGCCTGCATAATGCAATGCTTTGTGAATCTGTCGGCATATAATGAAATGTAGTGCGACATATATGGTTTATGTAACTTCTTGTGCTCCTCCCACATGACTATTTTCATGGGAGTAAAGGACATAAGATTATGAATCACACTGGTTTTGTGATAATATCAACATTTGCATATTTGTCTAGCAGCAGTAGGCTATTGGTGACCCCTTGATATGCTTTATGAGTTTTCCCTTAACACTTAGTTTTGTTGCTGAATATTTCTTTTAACGCTTTAGGCACAAGCAGGTGATGTTGGAGGCATACGATCAACAATGTGATGAAGCTGCTAAGATTTTTGCCGAGTACCAAAGGCGTCTACATCAGTATGTTAACCAAGCAAGGGATATTCGAAGGTTGAGCACAGGAAGCAGTGATGGTGATGTAGTAGATGACCACCATATTATTGGTGAAAAAGAGGCTGTTTACTCAACAGTTAAGGGAAACAAGACATCTGATGATATTATTCTTGTCGAGACCTCGAGCGAAAGAAATATTCGTACGGCATGTGAAGTTCTTGCTGCACAAATGATTGAAAGAATAAGAAGCACTTTTCCTGCATATGAAGGAAATGGTATCAACTTGAATTCTCAGTTAGAAGCAGCTAAATTAGGTATTGAGTTGTATAGTGAATTGCCAGAGGATGTTAAAGTGGTAGCAATTGATGCTCTACGAAATCCATCCCTTTTACTTCAGTCAATTTCTTTATACACTTCACGCGTTAGTTCACTTATTCACAGAGAATCTGAAAAGATTGATATCAGAGCTGATGCAGAACTTTTAAGGTATCAATTATTTTAATTTTTTTCATCTTTATAATCATGTTTTCATACTGAATTCTTACTCTCCCCCTCATTTTCCCCTCTTTATTTGGTTCTAGATTTAAATCCCTCTAGCAAGTTCATTCATAGTGTCAATGCAATCTACCGACTGACCATTATATTCATCATGCTTTAAAAATATCAATATTTATTGTTTAGTCATATCATGCTTGCTACAGTCTTTCTAGAAGGTCACTTGGGCACTAATAACCTAAAAATATTGCTTTTGCTTTATCTCACTTTTAGACCCTATGAGACATGACTCGAACAAAGCTGGTCTCTATGGCATCTGTGTGACAAAAACAGTGTTACAAAATCTTTAATTTTCATATCTACAACCAAGAACAGGTCCATACATTAATAGAACAATTTGGCCTTTTCCTTTGGTTTTTCTTTAGTTAGTTTCACAATACTTGTTTATTGTGGACATGATAGTCGAGCTTAATGCTTTGTTAGACTCTGATAGTAGGACACTTCCCACAACAAAAAGATGTCGTGGTCTACACAGTACACCCCTAGACATAACATGCTTTATAACTTACCAATATTCCAGTATGGCCTGTAGCTTATTCTCGAAGCCATTTTAGCGTATGTTCAGTTATTATCGATCATCTTACTCGTCTAGTTAACAGAAAATTTTACATTATTTATTTAGATATAAGTACGAGAATGATCGAGTCGTAGATGCTGCATCTCCAGACGCAATCTCACCCTTACCGTATCAAGTGTATGGTAATGGGAAGGCAGGAGCAGATCTCTCCACAAAGGGAACTTATAATCAGCTTCTAGAAAGACAGGTAACCAATTCTTCTTGCAGCTACTGTTGGTTCTCTGCAATACTTTCTGCTAAGCAATAAGCTCTCTATGATTTATGTGTCTATAAATCTAGATTTTGATCAGCCAGGAAAAGTGAGAATTACCGAATCCAGAGATAGAGAAGAATTGTGACGACTATGGATAGAATATTACGAAATCCCCACTATGATTAGAAACAGTATCAAATTACAAATAATTCTGGAAGGAATAATAGATAAGCTGAACCGTGAACAGTAAGAAATTTGGGTTTAGTAAATGATTCTTGTCACATGCTAGATGTTTGGCTCTCTTAAGACTGTTCATAAATGTCCTGTTAAATCAGTTGCTTTTGAACAACAGCTGCAGTTCACAATCTTCTATACCTTTTCAGTTAATATTATCATGTGTTTCATTTGCTTTCAGAAAGCACATGTACAACAGTTTGTGGCTACTGAAGATGCACTTAACAAAGCTGCAGAAGCTAAACGCTTATGTCAAAAGCTTATAAAACGCTTGCATGGAAGTAGTGATGTCATTGCATCACAGGCAATACCTGCCGGAGGCGCTTCACAGAATATGGGAACTATCAAGCAATTTGAGGTATTTTTCATGACTAGTTTAGGACGTAACCAGCCAATCGTACTTCGTTTGACCCATGCTACTGTTTGGTGATAGTACTTGTTCAATTGGTAAATCTGACCGACATTACTGGTTCTCCTTGAAAATCAAACAGTTACTAACGTGATCTATATCTAATTTGTGTTATTTCATCTGTTCAAATTTCTTTTGTGTGTGCATGCAAATGCGTTCTTTCTAAATTTTTTGGGTATATGATATATTCCTTAATAGATTGTCTGTATGTTTGAATGCTGGAATTATGCCTCTTTAATTGCGTTGAGTGCCATATTTCATTAAGGAATAGGTGAAATGTTGAGGTTCTCAATCTTTCATCGCGCATTAGAGCATGACACCTGTACAGAACTTACTATTCGTTGTACATTAAAGCCTTTATCCCAATTTGTGCGGGTCGGCTACATGAATCCTACTCTTCCACTCAGTTTTGGTGACAACTATCTCTTATATTTGGTCAATCATACAGAACTTACTGTTCACTGCGAAGCTTAATACCTTCATTTGATTTGAGTTCGAATCCTTGTAATTTGTTTCCTCTTGCATGAACTTCTTGAAAAATAAAAGGAAATTGAGATCTTATGAGCTGCCATCTACTCTAGGATTGGAAGTAATATCATAATGATATTAAGGATTTTGAATGACTATGACATTTAATGATTTTGAATGACTATGACAACAAGTTGGAGTATTTTTTTTAATAAGTTCGAATGTTGAATTTGTATAGTTCGTGTATTTGCAGTAATAAATTGTGGAATGACCCATTTTTATGCATAGGTGGGTGCATGCATGTCTTAAAAATAGAGCAATGTTTGCATGTATTTGTCTTTCCCCTCCACTGTTTTAGATAGCGGCCGATAGCGGTGCTATTGCGGCCAAAATAGCGGTAGCGGAGCCTACTGCTATGATTTCACTGATTGTGGCAACAGCAGTTAAAACCGCTATTTGCTCATAATAGCAGGTAAAAATGCAAAAAAAAAAAACATTGTTTAGCGCTATATAGCACTGATAAGTGCTAAACAGCGCTTTTCCTTAGGATGGTTTTTAAATTCCCTACTCGATCCGAATCCAAACCCGACCCATTTTAACTTTTAACTCTAAAAACCTTTATCCCGACCCATTTTAACTTTTTAACTCTAAAAACCCTTATCCCCTCTCTCTCTCTCTCTCTCTCTCTCTCTTCTTCTTCTTCTTCTAATCTCAGCCACAGAGAAGGGAGAAAAACCCTAACTCCAGTGCTTCCTCCATCATCTCCATCTCTCGTCTTTGACTCGCCATCTCTCCTCTGCCTCCTACTCCTACACCCTTCACCATCTCCATCACCTCCTGCTCCTCACCTCAATTAAGCCTTCTTTCCTCAACTCAGCCTTCTCTGCTCAACTCCACCTCCTCTCCTTAACTCCTCCGCCTCCTCTCTGTGGCTCTTCCCTTGACGACGACCAACCGTAGATGAATTCCAATAGCCCTCGAGGCGTACAGTTCACGAAGTCTAGCAGCCTTCTCTCACCTCCTTTACACTACAACAATTATTTCGTCGAACTGAACGTAATATTTCGAGCAACTCGTTCAAGTTTCAAGTTTGTACATTGAAACGTTGGGTGATTGATTTTATGGTAAAATTTAAATTGTTAAAAGGTATAATTGTTTTGGGAGAATCATTGCATCAATATTGTTTGAGCGGTGATGATTGTTGTATTATTGATTAATTATGATTTGGGGGTAATTATTGTTTCACAATCCGTATTGATGATAATAGTTTTGGGGGAATTATTTCAAATGAAACTAAATGGATTGATTAATTAGTGATGGTGGTTGTAAATTTTTTTTTGAATATTTATACATATTTAAATTGGACCGCTGTTTGACTTTATGCTATTTACCGCTATTTTTCCGTTATAGCCCAAACTTTAGTTGTGCCTCACCGCTACAGGATGCTAGCTGCTATCGGTAACCTTGTTCCCCACCTCTCGCCCCCTCCCCCCTCCTCCCATTGTATGCACGTCCAAGTTGTATATTCTACATGACCTCGGAGCGCCAAGTTTTGTACGCTACATGATTTTGGTAGATGATACTATGGTGACATGCATCAGTGGATAGATGTTTTTTGTTAATGGCGTATGCTCATATTTTCTTTGTTCTTTTCATGTAGCTAGACGTCTGGACCAAGGAAAGGGAAGTTGCAGGGTTGAAAGCAAGCTTGAGTACATTGACGTCTGAAGTCCAACGCTTGAATAAATTGTGTGCAGAGTGGAAAGAAGCAGAAGATTCATTGAGGAAAAAATGGAAAAAGATTGAAGGGTTTGATGCTCGCAGATCAGAACTTGAATCCATTCATACTGCCCTTCTTCGGGCTAACATGGTCAGTTATGTTCTTATTCTTCATATAGTACTCCAGTACATTCAGTACTATTTTTATCGAAGTATCCTATTTGCAGTCTGTTAATTCACAACTTAAGAGAGATGTAACACATGCGCATGTGTGTGTGTTGCTGAAGAAAATAAACATAAAATAGTTTCCAGTAATCTTCCACCCAATGCAAATTATGAAGTTAGGTGTATTATGGACTTTCTACCATCTACAGAAAAGCTAATATTAACGTTCTGTGGGGCTTCCACCAAAGGCTGATAGTGAAGTATTTGATAAGCCTTTTTGGCTGATTGTTCGTAGGGACTCCAACTTAGATGCCACTGGCCAAAAAAAAAGATGGTAATCTGACGGAAGAGAATTTCGTGGAGATTTGAGAAAAATAGCGTGTAGAAAAATGAAGTATCATTCTTGAAGATGACGAAAATGATCCCTACGTGGAGATGATTATGTGATGTTATGTTGGTCTGATTTGTCATTTGTGAAAGGGTGTTTATTTACATGGTTTAGGAAGTTGCCATTTGTTAATTATTTATGTTTATGTTTCGTATCGTTGAATCATGTAGCACCAATTTGACTAATTATCTTGTTGTAAATGGACTAGTTTTCTGTCATTTTCATACTTGCATATTTCATGTATAAACTTTTAGCATTTCTTCTTGGTTATCCACCAATCTTTGTTTCAGATTTTCCAGTACTTCCCCTCTTATGCACGTCGCAGATATGCTCTTAGACATCCAGCATGCACACTCAATAATGCATGGTAAAATAAAAACTTCAACAAGTTGAGGAATCTGCTGCCTCTCTACTTTAGAACAATTCAGTAGCATCTTATTGTTGAAGAACTTTTTGAATCATTCCCACTTCCTTTGAACATCCTAACCACAATGTCAAGAGATAATGGAATGCTTGCAGTATCATCATTTTGGCAGTTCTTTGAAGCCCATTGGTGGAATAATGCGGTTTGTACATTGAATATGTAATGTTTGCAGACTTGCACTTAACCCAATCAGGATGATGCCATCCCTAAAACAGATCTATTTCAGAAAATTAAAATGTTGCTTTCTGTCAAGGCTGCCTGTAATCTTTCACGTCAGTCAGTGTTTTACAGGCGATGCGCCTCAGGCGCTTAGGCGATGCGATCTTGTAATTTAGTGCCTTGCGTATTGCTAAACGATGAAGGTTACTAAGGTGAGCGTCTTTTGGCGCCTCAAGAGCGCACCTTGGCACCCCATGACACAGCCTTGGCGCCTCAAGCACTCACTAAGGCGTGTGATGCAAAGCGTTAGGTGTTTGTCTCTGTTTCAAAATTTTGAGAGTGCAAAATCTGTCCAATAAAGTAAAGTTTGTAGTTGACATTGAAGTTTTGTGTTTCTTTTTTCTTGATCAATTTTAGATTTTTTTTGATGTAAAGTACTTCATTACCTATATCATTTTGAGGACATGCAACAATTTATTTTAAAGTTCAAAGTTTGCTGTTTAATTATTTGTGTTAGCAGTTACTAGTTAATATTACTATTCAATATTTGTTGCTACTTCATTTAGATGGTTTATGACTTATTAAATTTGTGACTTTGAAATTTTGGATATGATTAATTTGTCTTGTTGCTATTTATCGATATTTGTATATTAATAGTAATGTTTATTAATTTTTGAATACTTACCGCGTGGGTTCACTCAGGCAATTGCCTTTGTTCGTGCATCTTGCCTCAGGCAACATAGGACCCTATCGCCTTGATCTTGCCTTTTGCATTTAAAACACTGACGTCAGTAGTAGAGTAAATTATAAAGTTATGCTCCAGGGACTGCATTCATTCCCTGAAGGTTGTTAGAATTTATTTTTCCACCTGTTTCACGGGTTTACTGTGATTTATGCAAGTATGTACGCAACAGATTTTTGGCTAAGAATGAAGTGTACTTATGTTGTGGTCTCGGTGGAAATTACTTATGTTGCTGATCATCGTTATTTGCACATGTTGTCCTGTGTTATTTTGTCATTTCATCAAGGGCACTATTTTGGCACTAAACCTGTTAGTATGGGTAATCATTTGCAATGTTTTAATGTTTCTTTCATTATGCTGGAAGTTTAATTGCTCACTTGTTTCTATGTGCCTTAGGATGCATCAGGATACTGGGAACAACAACCATTAGCTGCACGGGAGTCTTCTGCAAGAACTATTGTTCCGACATGCACAACCGTGGCAGGCATTTCAATGAATTCCAAAGATCTGATAGAGAAAGAATTATCTGTCTTCTATCAAAGTCTAGATAACTGCTTGTACATGCTTCCATCAACACCACAGGTTATTAACTTGTTAAGTAGTTATCTTTAGTTTTACAAGGAATGTAGCTAACTGCCTTTTTCATAGATGATAATCTGTCTTTTACACAAAGCTGCATATATGTCGTGGATCCTTGCTGCATATGATTACCTGATGCTGCACTTAACTGAACCCACTTAACTGAACTCAAAGACTTCATTAGGTTTTAGATCAACCAAATAGCCAGATGAGTTCACCTCATTTCTTACCACATAATCTTAGTGTTAGTTATGCTATGTGATGGAAATCATTCTTGTTTTTCTTCATTATACAACTCTTGCACTACATTTTTCTGATACATTCACATGTCAAATGATAAATTCTTAACTGTAATTTATTTTGTCTGTGCAGGCTCTTATGGAGTCTATGGGTGCAAATGGTGCAACTGGAGCTGAAGCTCTGGCAACTGCAGAGAAGAATGCTACTTTACTGACTGCAAGAGCTGGTGCAAGGGATCCATCTGCAGTTCCATCTATTTGTCGTATTTCTGCTGCTCTTCAGAATACTGCTGGTAGCCTCTCTTATACAGCTTAGGAATCCTCCTGCTCAATGTTAATAGACATATCCTAGATGCTTGTTTTTTCATAACTGCACCTCTATTGTTGGTCATCATAATCATTTGACTATAAGTTGAAATTGGAAGCTTTTTTTTTTTTTGAAACTACTCTTCTTGTCATTATGTCGCCTAATGTAATAATCCCTTGCTAACACTAGTCATCATCATCTTCAGTTAAACAGTTTTGCCTCAAAATTACTTATCTTGGATATGATGCACAACTCCATGCGGATTCATTAGGGAATTTGACCAAATATGCCCTATTGTTAGCCTGCATCAATTCCAAATGTTTTGTTTAAAATTCTTGGTCAAATTGTAGTATGAACACGGGAAATCATTTCTGTAACATAAAGAGCTATTTGGTGAGAATGTACATTTATTGTCATGAATTTGAACATATGCTACTAAGGAGCAAGCTTCATTCACCTGGACTAGGAAAGACTTTGGAGGTTAGATAATAATGTTTGGTATTGGGGACCATGTTTCATCAGTGTGATGCAATTCCTCTGCACTGCCTCCTTCCAAATGAGTATATCCCATGGTGTGGATATTTTTTTCAACTCATGTCACAGCATAAGTATTACATGTATAAACCAATAAGTATATGGTATTTTTCTTTTTCCGCTCTTGATAATCATCGATTTGTTCAAAAGACCCCCAAATTCTATAGTTGCTGAAAAGCTCAATATTTTTTGGTAGGTATGCCAATTAGGTCCTTCTTCCAGTTGACTTGAGCTCCTGATCTGTCCCATAGATTATGCTCTTTATGCTTCTCCAGCGGTTATTTCAGTTATCAACTATGTCACATCACGCTTCTCCCCAGAGGTTGTATTTCACCATATTTTTCTCCTTTTAATGTTCACCTCCCTTCTCCAGGAACCAATCAATTTGAAGGATTTATATGAAAATCTGAAGAACCACGTCGAAACCATGGTTTTAAATATCGGCCGATAATCCGATATTATCGCCGAGTTATCGGATTTGGGAGCTTTCCGCTAGGATAAGTAGGATTTTTAATCGGTTATCGTTTTTTGAGGTTTATCGGCGAGTTATCGACGATAAAGGTACTTATCGGCCCATAAGTAGGCTCTAAATATCGGCTTTATCGGCCGATAAGTAGGATTTGAGAGCTTTTACTTTCTTTTGGATTTGCTCTTTGAATGTTTACAAATTATGAACTATTTGTTGCTTTTGGAACTTGGTTGATTGGTGATTAGCTTATGTTTGTTTATGGATATTGATAATGGCTCATAACTACTAAATATCAACTTAGTAAGTTAGTTTATGAATCTCATGATTAAACAATAATTATGTAGATGCGTAGATGGTTCTTCATTCTTGATGTTATCTTATTATTTGCTAGTTTATTATTCCATTTTGACTAACATTATATTATTTTTCAAGCTTATGTTTGTTTATTATTTGCTAGTATATTACTCCGATAAATACTATTTATCCCCGATATATCCCCGATTTCCGCTATCCGATAAGAATTTTCACCGTCCGATAAATCCCCGATAATCGATATTTAAAACCTTGACTCGAAACTCCAGTACTTCAAGAAACCAGATAAGCAGAAACACAATTCATCAACCTTCAAAACCCAAAGATAATATCATTGATATGGTAATGTAACTAGAAAACAGGGAGATTTTCTAGATGAAGGTCTTGACACTAACAAGAAAATAAGCTTGAACGCTAACAAGAAAGCAGAAACGCCATATGTCAACCTTCAAACATGGTTACTGAGTACATGGTACGTAGGGGGTCGTGGTATGAATTCGGGTATGCAATTTGCCATTTAGAAAATTTGGATTAGACGGAGTTTAGTTTGCTTTGGTAAGCAAGTTTAGTTAGTGTGGACGTAAAAATTTTCTGGATGTGCTTACCATCTTCCAAAGTTATAGTAGAAAACGGGAAATTAGAAAACTAATTATGCATTTGAATATTTTTTCATGCAAAATACTTAAATGCTTCTTTTTTGTGGGGTTCATTTTTTTGTTCTGTGTTTCTTGTCACACATTTCATGTTGGGAAAGATTTCCTTTCATCTTTTATTAACATAGGTATTTAGTTACAGTAAAGTCATTGCCTCATATGTTTTATTGTGCGTCTCCCTTTACTCGATCGTGCACATTGCATTGCGTCTTGCGCATGTACGCTTAGAGGAACTTTGCGCTCCACATTCTTATATGCGGTACGTCAAGTTTGGGGAACCAATTCGTGTATCAGTGGGAATCGGTTCACAAATGTACCGGGAATCGGTTTGAATGAACGATTGTTCAGGGGGGGGGGGGCGGCGGGGTCGAAATTACGCAACTATGCCTTCAAAACCTGAAGATAATATCATTGATATGGTAATGTAGCTAGAAAGCAGGGAGATTTTCCAGATGACGGTCTTGTCACTAACAAGAAAATACAGCTTGAACACTCAAAGAAAGAGAACTTTGTACAGCATAATACTTAACAGGTCATTTAAAACAGATTCTCATCATTCTTGTCCTTTATTGGCACTGTAAAGAATGGCCCACTCAGGTCTTCGATAGCGTGAGCATGCTGTAATCTTTGGGTAGGAGTTTTGAGTTGAAGAAGCATGCTTCTTTGACTCCAGCATTTGCGTGTGCATGTGTGTGCATGTGTGTACATGTGGGCAAGAGTAGTTGATTTTTCACCACCATTATCTCTGGAAAGAAAACTTCTGTTTGCAGCTCTATTTTACCTTTGTTTTCCTCTATATTTAGTATTCTCTAACTTTTTCCGGGAACGCAGCGGGCTTAAGTAGAAGAGTAGGAAGAATGTTTTGAATTGTTTAATATTAGGGCCTAAATCAACAGGGGATTTTTGAGAAAGACAAGCTGATTCAAGTTTAGCCTAAGTGTAGTTAACTGGCTGGCATGTCCTTATTGGAACGGCTTATGTGAATTGAGGGGAGTTTAGAAAATAATTGGAGGAATCATCAGGTCAAGGAAGGTTTATTGATTTATTAATGAAGAAACTCTGTAATTTTTTTTGGGTTCCATGTGCTCTCTATCTTTTATGATTGCATAGTTTGACTGTTTTCTGCTGCTTGTTCCTGAACTAAATGATGACTTCTGTACATTCATTATGCTCATGTATTATTTTCATTCCGCTGCATAGTCAACAAATTTGTCTTTGATCACCTTGAAGCACTAACGTGAGCACAGTAGCAGCTTAACTCTAGTAACAAAAAACGTTCATTTTGAACAAAAATTACAGACATGGATGTACTTTCAAAGTTATGAGGGATCTGTTGTCTGTCACCTTTTTCATGCAAATTTGTTTTCCTGATAAAAACTGTAGTTAGTCTATTTAATTCTTATCCATATAGTCTGAGTTTGCATGTTTGAAATAGATTCAGAGTTAACTTCTATACAGGTACTGAAGGTCCAGATTCTGCCTTACTATCAGTTTTAGGCTCATTGGAGTTTTGTTTAAAGCCCCGGGGTTCCGAGGCTAGTGTATTGGAAGACTTATCTAAAGCAATTAATCTAGTTCATACACGGCGGAACCTTGTTGACAATTATCGTGTTTTGCTCAACCATGCTCATCGTGTGCAGCAAGATTATGAGAGGTAAAAGATTTTTGACTTATGAGATCAGTACTTTGAGCACAACTTTTGGTGTTCAGATTATGCATGCTAGAGCTTTTATTGCCATGAGTGTACCTAATAAGTCAACATGTATTTTTGTCTGTCAACCACTTTGACAGTTAAAATACATTGACAATTCAGATCAAGGGTACAACTTGCTAGTTAAGTATCCATGTTGGAGCTTATGTCAAACAACTGATGATTTTGTTCTATCATGATAGGGAAGCAACCAAAATCTGAAGGGGTCTCATATTGAACCCAAATCCTTATGGTCTTAAACTGGTATCTGAGCCATTCATGTTATAGAGTTGTGAAAACGAGAAGACTTTTCCATTTGTGTCTGAAGTGTATCTTAATTCAATATAGTGGGAACTTTGTACCTAATAAGTCAACATGTATTTTCTCAAGGGACCTGGAGGTAGACTTCTAGATTCTATAATCTTCTGTTACTTATTTTTATATCATGCTTCTCATTATCTGCTGTAGAGAATAATAAATATTTTTTTCCAGCAAGCTAATGATTAAGGTTTTTTTTTTCTTTTGGAGTCATCCAGTTTACTAGTGTTATGAGTTCAACCTAAAATATGGACACGAAATGAACGATTCAAGTTGACAATGAAATTTGAGGTAATAACTTATAACTTATATATGAAAGTAAACCTTTGATATGTGTAAGATTCAAATGGACATTAAGTTTTAATACATTTTCAGGATGAAGATGATAAGCAGTTTCTTCTACCAAAACTGAATATTCTTGTACCTGTACAACCATGGATATTACTGTTACCATGCACTTAAAATGCTTTTAGTTTTCTTAGCGCAAGCATGAGTCTTCATGTTTTATGGAGAAATAAACTTTATGAAGACTTACTAGTTACTTTAATGTCTGCAGGATGGTCAACTATTGTTTGAAGGTAGCTGCTGAACAGGATAAAGTTGTTACAGAAAGATGGTTGTCAGAACTTAGGGGAGCAGTTGTTGGTGCCCAGGAATGTCTGGAGGATTGCCAGCGTGTTCGTGGTTTGGTAAGTAGGCTCTTCTATTTACTTATCAATAGATCTTCCTTAAATTTTAGAAGACAAGACATATATGTTCTCTCTTTTAGGGTATTCATAGTTTTCTTACATAATGAGATGATTCGAGGTAACATTTCATGAAGCATCATGGAATTAGCGGAAAAGTATATTCTTAATCTCAAATCTTGTTGTGAGCTTTAGATCTCAAGTACTCTCTTTTATATTGAGGGCAACACAATGTATTTCAAGTAAGTATGATTGGTGAACGACCCTAAATTATTACATACCAGTCAGAAAAGAAAGAGAATGGTACCGTAATACTTGACTTAGAACAGGTGTCATATGCCTATCGACAACACGAAAGCCTTTATCTGAAACTTTTGGTGTCGTCTATGTGAATCTTATTCTTCCATTCCGTTCTATTATATAAAAATATAGTTTTGTTAATTGTGAGGTTTGATGTTTTCAATAAACTGAAGAATCTATTGTTAATTACTCTTTTAGGATAAACCATTTGAACCTTTGATTTACAAGGGTATAAGTTTTATATACTAACCCAATTTAGTGATAATAATAACAAAAGAAAAGATATTATGGACTTTTTAATGTTGAGAAGACTGTCACATCAAAAAATAAATTTTATGCATTTTCTGATGGAGAAGACTTTTCTATCACAAATTAAGTTTGAGTTTAATATTTTAGTTTAAAGACATTACAATCTTATACATTTGGTTTTTATTTTAGTTTAGAGACATTACAACCTATTTGAATTGGTTTTAGTTTGGGAACATCACAGTTCATAGATTTTATTTTACTTTAGGGACATTTCGGCTTTGAAAGTTTGACTTTGCTTTAGAGACATTATGATTCTTAAGATTGAAAGTTTGACTTTGCTTTAGATACATTATAATTCTTGAGATTTGATTTTTAGTTTAGAGGCATTATGGTCCATAATTTGATTTTAGTTTAGGGACATTACGATTAGTTAAGTTTGACTTTAGTTTAGAGACATTTCGGTCCATTTTATCTGATTTTAGTTAGGAACATTTCAGTCCATTTGATTTGATTTTAGTTTAGGGATATTATGATTCATATTTGTTTAACATATTTTATGAACATTTTGGGCCGTATATTTGATTTTAGTTTTGGGACATTATGGTACATAATTAAAATTTTGAAGTTGATTTAGTTTGATACTTTAGGACTTATCACTAAGATTTTATGAGGTTCATTTTGAAGTTTCCAGATTGTTTCTGCAAATTCAGGTGGTGACTGCAAAGTTATGAAGTTTCAAACTTTTATCTGCAATTTTTGGAAATTACAGAGTTCATTTTGAAAATATATGAAATTTCAGGATTCTCTTGGAAAATTTTAAAATTTATGGGGATCTACAATTCCTGGAACCTTATTGGGTGCTTATGCAAGTTTTGTTAGTTTTTTGGACTTTTCTGTAAATTTTTAATTTTTTAAGTTCTTGTGTATTTCTGCAAATTTTACAAGTTTATGGACTTTTCTATGAAATTTGCAATTAGTGGAAGCACTTTTGGGTGTTTAGGAGTTATTTAGATTTTTTTGCAAATTTGCCGATTTAAATATTACACATTTCTTGAAAATAATATACCTTTGTGGCAAGAAATTTATAATATTCAAATCTATGAATTTGCAAAAAAAAAAATCTATAGAACTTGTAAATACCCAAAAGTGCTTCTAGTAATTGCAAATTTTGAAGAAAAGTCCATGGAGCTTGTAAAATTTACAAAATTACCCACAACGACTTGAATAAATTGCAGATTTGCAGAAAAGGTCATAGAACTTGCAAAATTTGCATATACACTTGAAAAGACTTTGGAATTGCAGATTCTCCGATACAATCCTTGAGAACTTTTAAAATATGTCGTAAGAATCTTGAAATTTCATATATTTATAGAATAAACCCTAGAATTTGCAGATACATTGTTGAGACTTCATTGTTTTGCATTGAACACCGTGAAATTTGTAAAAACAACCCTGAAACTTTAAAAAAATATCATAAAAAATGAAACATTGCGGAAAGCATGCAAAATCTTTGGAACTTACAGATAATTCATAGATTATCAAACCAAATCAATTACACAAATCAAATTATGAGCCTAATGTCACTAACTAAACTCAAATAGATAGATCGGAATGGACCTAAACTAAAGTTAGAAAATTTTGGATCTTATGTCCCTAACTACTATGAAAAGGACCAAAATCTCTCTGACTAAGGTCCAAAAAATATGGATCAAATTATGAAAGTGTAGAGTCCCTAAAATAAAATCAAAATATAGACTAGGGGGTTCCTAAACTGAATCAAATCTTAAGGATTGTAATTTCTCTTGAGGGGCTGTTTGCCTGTTTGTTTGCCTAAAAAAAGAGGGAAATCAAAGAAAAGGAAACCTATTTCTAAGAAAAATAGGTTTTGGGATTGTTTGGTTGGCTAAAAAAAGAAGGAAATCAAAGAAATGGAGATGAGATGAGATGAGTTGTCACCTTATTATAGGATGATGTGAGTGATTTTTTAAGAAAACTTGTTTTGATGTTGTTTGGTTGGCGGGAAAAATAAGGAAATGAATTATAAGAAACATATTTCTTGTAATAGGTTGTTTTCTTTTGTTTGGTTATTTCTTAAAAATAAGAAAATAGATGAGATGAGATGAGTTGTCATTATATTATTGGATGATGTGACTCACACTTAAGGAAATTGTTTTCCTAGCTTTTTGGGAGAAAAACAAAGAAATAAAATGTTAATGAGATGAGATGAGTTGTCACAATCTTATTGGATGATGTGAGTGATTTTTAAATATGAGATGAGATGAGTTGAGTGATGTTGTGGATGAAAATAATATTTTATTAGATGTGGTGGATGTGATGGATGAGTTGTTGGATGAAAATAATATTTTATTAGATGTGGTGGATGAGTTGTTGGATAAAAATAATATTTTATTAGATGTTGTGGGTGAGTATTAGGGATGAAAATGTGTGAAATTGTACTTTTTGAGATTTCTTGGTTTTCATTTTTTTTTGGTTTTTTAGGAAATAACCAAACAGGCCCTGAACCAAAGTCAAACTTCACAGACCAAAATGTACCTAAACTAAATCAAATATATGGAACGTAATGTTTTTAAACTAAGATAAATCAAATACATTGTAATGTTTTCCAACTAAAATAAAAGAACAAATTTATGCAACTAATGTCAAACTGTTAACTCAGACTTTCTTTTCAATGAAAAAAATCTTCTCTCTATCAAAAGAATCTATAAAATTTATTTTGATGTGAAAGTCCTCTCCACATCAAAAGTCTATGATGTCTTTTTTGTTATTATTATCGCTAAATTTGAGTTCATATATAAAGCTTATAACCTGCTAATTGAAGGTTTCTATGGTTCATCCTTAAAGGAAAATTAACAATAGATCCATGTTGGAGATATCTGTTAAGGGCCGAAACTTGACCACGTCCTCTTCCTCGTCCAGCCATGGTTGGTATGCAACAATTGAGGAATAGAGGGCAATTGATGCGTAAATAAAGTTAAAAAAACAAATGAGAAATAGAAGATAATAGAGGGAGTAGAATTAGGAGAGTAAGAAAATAGAGGAAAGAGATAGATCAGAGGAGGAGGAACTTAGATTAGATTAGAAAAAGTAACATATTCATACATAGTTCTATCATAATACAGACATATATGCATTGCATACTAATCTGAGCTACCCACTACTCGCTAATTCCTCTCATAACTTAACAATTTCCCACTACTTTGTCTATTTACCCCACTATACTTCACATGTTCCTGACAACACTCCCTCCTTTATGTGAGCTCATTCTCAAGCTCAATATTATTGAAACCCTAGCCTTTTCTTCTTCTTCTTCTTCAATTGGAATTCCTTCAATCAAGAACAACTTTTGTGACTTACATCGATGACCCGTGGCATTCTCTTCATCGCAATGATAACACAATCCTTTTTCCTCTACTTTCCTTAACTTCTTGAGGTGTTATCCCTTTGACTTGTGCAGAGGTAGTGCTATGTTCAAAAACACGGTTTTATTATATGTGCGGTCTGGGAGCACTTAACAATAGATCAGATTAAGCCTTGATTAATCAGATTACATGTAATTATGCATTTTTGAATTTTTAATAAGTATTTATTAATTATCATATGTTAAAATATATAAAATTCATGAAAACAGAAAATGTGCTAAGAAAACAACCAACAAACATGCAATTTAACAATCAATAACTAGTTAGCTACCTAAAAGTTCAATCTGTACATCAAAATTAACTAGACTAGATAATAACTTATTAACTACTTAAAAATTCAATCCATACATCAAAAGCAACTAGATACACAAATAAAAGTCATTATATTAAGAATAATTATTTTTGGACCTAAAAATTGAACCATTTTGATGGACATGTGACATGGGAATTAATTAATACTAAATTGACTTTTAGATTGGAAAGTTTAACTATGAGATTTAATGGTAATTGTGGAATGAATAGAAAGGAGAGGAATTTAATTCAATTCCCCAAGTTTGTCTGTATTCTTAATTTCCCCTCGATCTCTCTCCACCACTCCCCCTTTCCCGTCATCACTGCCACCATAAGAAGCGTAACCACTAAATTTTAGAATCTTCTTGGGTGAAGGTAGGTTTTTTGCCCTTTTACTACTATAGAGAGCCTAAAATCTAAGCTTACTACAAGGTCTCAGACTAATTACTTCTTTCACCTCACCATTGAAGAGGGTAGGATAGGGGAATGCTCTCTCGTATGCTGCCATCAGTAGGCAGTCCTTCATATTTGATTCCTAGATCGACAACGTCCTACAACTTGATGTGATCACAAGTATAGGTTTCTCAAGACCCAAAAGCTTCTAATAAAAGAACAATATTTGCCTTCCTCCTTATACTAATAGCTAATGGTGAGCTTGTGACATGCTCACACATCAACGACTTAAATCTATTTCATAGAAGATTGGAGTAATGGGCTAATTTA